TCATGATTGGCTAATACGTTCTTTGATAGTATTTTTAAGTCAGTATCCTTGTTAGCTTCATACATTATAATTGGCTGATATGTCTCAAGTCTTTTCTAATCTATAGATGTCTACTCCCCACCCCCTTGAGATTTTTTTTGTTGTTGCAGAAGTTGGGTCTTTTATCCAGAGATAAATGAGAATTATTCAGAATGAGAAGTCTCCTGCATTCGGAATTTTGCCAGTTGCTTCCCTGGGACGTTGTTTAACATGATTGTCTCTCTTTTATGTTTCCTTTAATTGGCAGTAAGATCTAGAAACTTAATCAGATTGAGCTTCCATTTTTTTAGCCAGAATATCTTGTAGGCAATGTCTCCAACAGAATCATATAATATTTGGGTATCTCTCTGTTGGGGTCTTTAGGAACCATTAATGATCAGAGCCTAGGGATTACAAAATGGTAACATGCTATCATTTATTTTTTCATAAGCTGAAATGCTATACTTAAAGAAAACTTGTCTTCATCAACTATTTGGTTACTCTGAGATATAGTTTGTAAAGGAAAAGCAAGGAAATAATTATTTGCATTTACCTGTTTTCATATTAATGAGTTGATTCCCTAACACCTTCCAAAGTTGCACATTTTTAAATATCATTACAATCCAAACATATTTTACGTATTTAAATCCACTGCAGTTTGTTCTAATTAATGCTCAAATTGTGTCACTCGCTAGTGGGAGCCTTTTGAAGTTGGCCTAACATCATCTTGGACGTTTTCTGTCTCTGACCTAGAATCAGTTATTTCTCCTAGAAGCCCTGGTTCCTTTTAGTGGAAACTGATACTTAAAATGTGGGCAGTAGGGGTACTTTTTATTATTGACTCGGTTCCTGTTTCTAAGCCTTTTCAATGAACACAGCTAGAAAGTACTTTTTAAAAGAAAATTCATCATGGGTTTGTTTCATTTCCAATGTAAAAACACTTTTTCTTTTTTACTTAACTTCTTTAATATCATATCCATATCTCCTTTCACTCTTGCTGAAAATCTCAGTCCCCAACACCATTAATATAATTTCCCAATTCATAGAACATGCCTAAGAGTCGCAAAGTAGTAATACCAGTAACTACCAACAATCATATAATTACTGAAAATAGTTTAAGGGTTTTTTTTTTTTTTTCATTTCTTTCTGTATCCTACTGAGGTAGGCTATCAAATTACTGTGTTTTAAAATCTCTTTTACTAGTTTCTTCATGTGGGATTATGCCACCAACTAACCTAGTATTGCATTCATGTATTTACTCTGCTTCTGAGATTTTAGAAATTGCTTATCAGTTTATTGATTTGCTTAGTCTTTCATTTTAATTATTTAAAATATTTATAGTTCTAAAGTTAAATATATAAAAAAGTACATTCTGAGAAAGCCTAGCTTCTATCCCTATCTTCTCTACCCTGTTCCCTCCATCCTTCTATGAATAATCTTTTTAGTTTTTGGTTTACCCTTTCATTGATTGTTAATGAGTGAATATGTGTGTATGCCTCTACCTCTTTCTTAGATAAAGAGAATCATACTATACCTATTATTCTCTACCATGCTTTTATTCACTTAACAACATAGTCTGGGAGCCACTCCATGACATTATATAGAATATCCCTCATTCTTGTTTTATAGCTGCATAAATAGTCCATTTTGTTGATTACCCTAGTTTATTCAGTTAGATCTGTACCACTGAACATTTGGGCTGTTTCCATGCATTTGCTATCACAAATAGTGCCACCTTGCATAACCTTGTACACATATGTCATTTCATATTTTTGCCAGTGTATCTTTGGGAGAGTTCTAGAAATAGAATTGCTGGGTCAGAGAGTAAATGCATATGCATTTTGTTGGATATTATCAAATTCCTCTGCATAGCAGTTGTACCGTATTGCACGTTCACCAGCAAGGTACTAGAATCCTTGGTTTCTCATGGCCTCATTTGTCATTAAACTTTGGATTTTGCCTATCTGATGGATGAGAAATAATATCTCACTGTGCTTTTAATATGTATTTTTCTTTTTAAGAGTGAGGTTGATCATCTTTTCAAATGCGAAAGAGACATTGCATTTAAGAATCCTCCCCTCCAAATCCCTTCCAGGCAACTACCACTCTGCAATATGAAGATGAACAACAGAGAAAGTGAAGGACAGAATGAATAGAGAGGTCACTGGACAATCACAGGTGCACAGGAAGAGATTAACTAGCCAAACTAATGAAGCAACACAGCAGAGAAAGAAAACAAAGTGGTGACCGCCAAAGGAAGGGACTGAATTTCCCTCTCTGGAGATTGCAGATGGGGTTTCATTGATGTGTATGCACTGAGTGGAGAGTGGCCTAGACAGGCAATGGAGACTGCATGATCTATAGCTCCCCAGGAAGTAAATGAGGAGATCACAGTCCAACAACCAGAGAGGCTGGGCCTGTGCTGAGATGGAGCCAAGAAAGAGTCCCTTCTCACTGCTGAGATGCAAACCTGTATTGTAACAATGGGATGTAGCAATAGGCACATCCCTCCCCACCTCCAAGGTCTCACCTGTCCACCAGAGAAGTAGAGGAAAGCATTAGTAGTTGCAGTGAGATGGATGGATGGGTTTTGAAAACGGGTTACCCAGAAAGTGACAATACACATATACAATTTACTCTCCCAATGTTTGATATAGCTCTATGTAATTATTTGGTTTCTCTAAGCCTCAATTTACTGAAAATGGGGTAATAATCCCCGCCTATAAAATGAGGTTAATAATACTATGTGCCATTTAGCGTGGCTGTTGTCACAAGAATAATCCACATTAAGCCCTGACACGTAGTAAATTATCGGTACACATGAGCTTATTACTGTCGGCTGTGGTTGTAGCACTATTATGTGTCACAGGGGGATTTAGAGACAGAAGTCTTGAGATTCAATCTCAGCTCTAATTTCATTAGCTCTGTGTCCTTGATCTAGTCTCTTAACCTACTTGGCCTTAGTTTTCTTCTCTATAAAATAGGGATAATAACTTCATAAATGTATGCATTTAAATGAGATAACACGTGTAGCAATTAGCATAGTAAGTCATCAGTAAGAGTTGACTACTACTACCCTTATTATAATCTTCTTTGTTAATTAAACTTCCTAATATAAGTTTCTATTAAGAATACTTGACAACTATTTTAGATAATTCTTGAAGATTATAGCATTAAAAAAAGAAGATGGGGTATATTAGACTATCTTTATGAAACTGATTACCTGTAGAAATCTACAAAACTTTGCAGAGAGAGAAGTGCTGTGTAGCTCTTTATTCCTCCCCAGTCTTGTTTGGGGAATTTTGGGCATCTGATAGCTCCATAGTAAGAGAGTACAAAGGAGCAGAGGTTCCTTTGACATGGGAGGCGGCTTAGCTTAAGATCTCTGGATTTACACTGTCTTGCCTAGGTCTGAATCCAAGCTCTGCAACTTGCTAACCCAAGGCTAGTTACTCAACCTCCATAAGCCTCAGCTTTCCTAGGAGGTAATAATAGCACCAGCCTCACAGGGGATTTTGTTTTGCAAAGAGTGAACATGATTACGTATGTAAGCTCAGTGCCTGATGTGGAGTCAGCCCCCAGTCAATGGCAGTGGTGATGGCAGTGACAGAAGCAGTAGTAGTGGATGTCATCATCATCCTCATCATCAACCTTAGGGAGGTGTGCTAGTCTGAGTGGGCTAGGCCACATGGTGTTAACTTCCAACCTCCACATCCCAGCAGCTTAAAAATCAGGAGCTTATATCTGACACAGACCACTGAAGCTACATATTTAACATGGGTCATCAGGGATGTCTGCTCCTTAGAGTCACTTAGGGGCCTAGATAGATGAGACTTCCCTCTTGACACTTGCTTCCACAATTACCAAGGCAGGAAAAGGAAACTGTGCAAGTCACACAAGCAGAGAGGCTGGGCCTGTGCTGAGGTGGAGCCAAGAAAGAGTCCCTCCTCACTGCTGAGATGCAAACCTGTATTGTAACAATGGGATGTAGCAGTAGGCACGCCCCTCCCCACTTCCAAGGTCTCACGTGTCCACCAGAGAAATAGAGGAAAGCACACAGGCTTGTAAAGTTTCCACAGAGACATGATGTACAGCACTTCTGCTCTCATTGTATTGGTCACAGCAGTCACATGGCCTTGCATAACTTCAAAAGGGGTGGGCAATGAAATCCAATCACGTGCCCTTGAAAGAGGAATAGCTCTAATGACTACCTTAGGGGCTGAGGGTCTGGTTGCAGGAAGAGACAGGGGTGGTAGGAAAGAGGCAGCTGAGAGTGGGGAAGCCCAGGATGGGACACGTGGGCAGAGGCATAAATAACAGGGTTTGCCAGACCAGAGACAGCCAGCAGCTGTGCCTAGGCCTCCTAGTGTCCTGTGGCATTCCCTGCCTTGGACTGTATTCATTCATCCTGTCATTAACTCATTTATTCATCCAACCAGCAATCATTGAGGAAGAACTGCGTGCCAAGCACCATGCTAAATGCTGGGGATACCCAGTTGTGTAACACAATTAACACATCCCATGCCCTCCTGGAGTTTACAGTGATGCAGGAAGTACCGGCACCCTGAGCTGAGCATCTGAATTGTAGGGTCCTGGGGTTCTGACCCTTTCCAGGGCCAGATGTGAGGAGGTTGGCTGGATCTATGCCCCTGCCTCAGGCCTGACAGTTGAGTGAGGAACAAAGGAAAAGCACAGTGTGGCCCAAATATTAGCTGTACTTCAGCCGTTCTAGAATGACAAAGGGACTCTGCTTAAGGGAATCTTTTCATTTCTCCCCTCTGGCCTTTAATAACACTCCACATGATATAACTGGACCTACTCATAAAGGTCCCAGTAGACAAAACTCACAGTTTACAGTTTATGTAATTTTCCATAGAAACAAAAACAATACTTGTTGCCTGACATATTTTATAGAGAGATTTGCTGTTTGTTTACTCATTTATCCCCGAAGAAAGCTGCTTCTCTTCCTTCTGTCCCCCCAGCTCCCTGCGGTGGTCACCTGACTTCGCCCAGCGGCACCATCCTCTCTCCGGGCTGGCCTGGCTTCTACAAGGATGCCTTGAGCTGTGCCTGGGTGATTGAGGCCCAGCCAGGCTACCCCATCAAAATCACCTTCGACAGGTGCTTGTGACCACAGCCTTGGGGGAGAGGGCAAGGGAGAGATTTTTACAGAGCCATGTGGGAGGGAATCCAGGGTGGATAGAGGACCAGTACCAATGCTGAAATGTCAGCAAGGTTGGAGAACACTGGACCAGACTGCCCTGGGTGGGGCAGACCTCACTGGCTCTGGGCTTGGTTTGTGCTATTAAGGGACTATGGCAGGAGGGGTGAAGAGAAGGCTTGGGTACCATTTGGGATGTTAGAGCCCCCCTCCCCAGCCCCCAACGAGGGAGAGTGGGCAGACAGACACCATCAGATGTTAAAGCACAACACTGACATCTGACTAGCATTCTCCTGGAAATGTCCAGTGTGGGAAGGCAGCCCCCGACCTCTGCCCCAAATCCCGCTCATGTGCCCCACTTCTAGCTCCCACCCTGGCTATGCCCCTTGGGTGGAGAACATAGCCACCTAAATGTGAAAACAAACTTCTTCCGGACAAAGTGTTCCTGGCCTGGAATAGCAGTCTGCAAACTTTTGTGTGAAGAGCCAGATGGTAAATATTTTAGGCTTTGTGGGCCACTTGCCTACTTGCATATCTCTGATGCATGTTCTGCTTTGCCTTTTTTTTTTTTTTTTAGCATCTCTTTACAAATGTAAAAACCATCCTTAGCTCTCCAGGCTATAGACCAGATCTGGCCCTGAGGCCTAGAATGTGTGTGCTGACCCGTGGCCTAGAATGTTCTGATCTCCATGAGGCTAGTCATTGTGCCTCTAGGTCTTAAGCTAGCTCACAGATCAAGACACAGAGAGGATGAGAGCAGCTTCCGACCATGGAAGGAGGAGGAGGGATGTTAAATAGAGTGGAGAAGGTCCTTCTGCATTGCTAGTGAATGTGTGCAAATTATATTAAAAGATCCCAGCCTGCCAAAATCTGGTTATTCTGAAGCCCTGGGTCAGGCAGGGTTTTTGTCATTTGCAAATTAATAAGGTTGGATTTCTCAAGCAGGCTTCATTTCTGTCATTTGGCAGATTCAAAACCGAGGTCAACTATGACACCCTGGAAGTACGTGATGGGCGGACTTACTCAGCGCCCTTGATCGGGGTTTACCATGGGACCCAGGTTCCCCAGTTCCTCATCAGCACCAGCAACTACCTCTACCTCCTCTTCTCTACCGACAAGAGTCACTCAGACATCGGCTTCCAGCTCCGCTATGAGAGTGAGTCTCAGTGGGTGGGCTCAGGAAAAGGGATGACGAGGTCAGCTCAGTTGGGTCAAAGGCCTCAGGACTATGCTCCACCACAGGCCCCTGCTTGGCCCCATCCCCATGGTGTTCTTGGCTAGGCTGTGCCCTTCAGAAGGCCCTGCAGAAGGCACTCTGTTGCTCTCAGCATCCCTCAGGTCATGGGAGCTTAGAGTTGTTCACGACCTTCATACCAGGCCCTTGCGTGCAGACCTCATGGCCTCTTCTGTGTGCAGGTGATTGGGTGTCGCCACGCTGGGCACTCTGGGGTCAGAACATTTGACTGACCATGAAGTTAACCCGAGATGGCATCTCACACCCACACTTGCCCTTCCTCGTCATCTTCCACATTCATCCCCTCAATTGAAAGCATCATTGTCACTTCAGTTCTCTGTAGACCAATATAGAAAGCTGGGACTTCGAGCACCATGAGGACAAGGTCATTTTCTTACTCCTGTTGTATCCCGAAGCCTTACCATAGCACCTACGCCACTCTCAGTAAATACTGATGGCCACATTTCATGAGTCAGTAATTGGCAACTTCTGCCTTTAATAAACCAGGGCTCTCTACCCTCTCTTTGGAGTCAACTGGGGTCCCTCTGTGGTGACAGTGAGCTGTCTGTCCCAGCTGTGGCCTCTCTCTTTCAGCTATAACACTGCAGTCAGACCACTGTCTGGATCCAGGAATCCCAGTAAATGGACAACGTCATGGGAATGACTTCTATGTGGGCGCGCTGGTGACCTTCAGCTGTGACTCAGGCTACACATTAAGTGACGGGGAACCTCTGGAGTGCGAGCCCAACTTCCAGTGGAGCCGGGCCCTGCCCAGTTGTGAAGGTGAGGCACACCATGAGGGGGCGCTAAAGTAGCAGACTCCTCTCCTGCCACAGAAACACAGGTGCTCAAAAGGCCCCTGACTCCCTACCCCATCAGCGAGGGTTGGGGTTTCGAGACATGGGGGATGGGGTCCCAGGAGGATGACAGGGGTGCTCCCTGAGGCCCTCTGGTCTTTCACTGCCCTCTTCACTCCTATAGCTCTCTGTGGTGGCTTCATTCAAGGCTCCAGTGGGACCATCTTGTCACCAGGGTTCCCTGACTTCTACCCTAACAACTTGAACTGCACCTGGATCATCGAAACATCTCATGGCAAGGGTGAGTGTTTCGGCCCATAGCAGGCATTGGGATGTGAGTGGTCAGGGACCCAAGTTCCTCAGGTCAAGTTGACCTCAATGGGCAGCTCCCTAGATAGTGACCTCTGGGCTTCGTCTGAACTTTTCTCACCAACAAGAAAACCTCCAGAGTCTTTTCATGTCTTTGAATGGTAGAACTTGTTCAATAAGTATCGTTGAGATTCTAAAATCTCCCTGCTGGAAGAGATCTTGGAGGTTACCAGCTATCCAATATCACTCAGTACAGGAACCTTCTCTAAATCACTCCCCACAAGATGGCAACACATCAGCTCAGCTCACCCTTTGCCTAAACATGCCTGGTGTGGGGAGGCCACCAACCCATTCAACAAATGGTCACCTACTATCATTTTTGCACAGATGCTTTCTTCTCCTAATAGTCTATTAGGTGTCTCTGAAAATGTTTTTCTTGTATTGCATCCTGGAGGAGCATCAGATACACCTGCTTCCTCTTCCTCACATTCACCCTTCAGATATTGAACACAGCGATCCCCTTCTTGCATAACTCAGCTCCTCCTCTGATGCCATCTTTCATATGGGTCAGCAGCCTGCACTGCTGCCTCAGCTCGCCTAACATGAGTGACCTTTGGGAGTCCAAGTTCAAAGTAAAGGTGCTGGTTATAAATAAATATTAATTAACATATTAATACTCTTTTCTCAACAAATATGTATTCAGTGCCACCCATGGGGCTGACACTGGGGCTGGGCATCGGCAGTAACCAGGCAGATTTGGCTTCTAGCCTCAGAAGCTTATTGCCAAGTTCATCCAGAGTCATGGTTCTTGCAGTTTGGCAAATACACTAATGTTTAGGCCCAAGGCTAGAGGTTTTGATTTTCTACGTTGGCGGTGGAAACCAGGCATCTATGTTTTCAGAACACTTTGCCAGTAATTTGGATGCATGCTTTTAATTAAGAACCTCTGATCTAGAAGAATTAACATGCAGAAGAGCCAAGAAACAAATTTCAAAGGAAGATTAATCCTTCCGGATATTAAAACGTCATTATGAGCTAAATTAATGTTAACAATGTGGTATGAGTACAAGAGTGGACCTACAAATAAGACGTGGAGAATAGTTGTCCAGAAATGGATCCCTCCATGTGTGCACACACATGCCCATGTATGTGTGAGAGAGACTTTAGTATATGAGTAAAGTGTCATTTCAGATCCATTGAAGAAAGGATGGATTATGTAATAAATGGTGTTAAAACAGTGGGTTGAACCATTTGGAACAAAAGAAAAAAAAAACATCTATACCTCAAGCATTTTCAAGCATTTAATCACATAAACTCCAGCACTAGAGGAACGTGAATCTCTAACCTCAGGTGGACATGTACTTTAAAGAGTAACAACAAAGGTAGAATCCATAAAGGCAAAGACTGCTATTAAAAAAAAAAAAAAAAAAAAAAAAAAAAAACTTTGAAAGGATTTAGGTAAAAAAAAAAGGAAAACTCCATAAAAATTCAAAGTCAAATACTACATAGAAAAAAAAATATTTGCAACATATGATTGACTAAGGATTAGCTACCAGACACACACAGAGTTCTTAAAAAGTTTCAAGAGACATATGCCTAGCCAAACCAACCTGCAAAATGAGCAAAGCTATAAAGTAACACTTCGTAACAGAGGAAATACAAATGGAAAATCATTGACCTCATTGATAATGAAACAAGTGTAATTTTAAAAGGGAAATAGCATTTCCCTTTTGAAGTCATCAAAGAAAACTGTAACAGTCTGGGGGATAATGTGGACCCTGGAATACTATTGACTGCTGACACTGTGTGAAATGGTTCAAGCGTTCCAGAGGGTGACTTGGTGATGTGAATCAAGAGCCTTGAAAATATATTGTAAGGGACTTAGGAATCTGCAGATTTTGGTATCCAAGGGTGGTCCTGGAACTAATCCCCTGCAGATACAGAGGGACAACTGTACCTGCCTTTGCACCCAGCAATTCCACTTTCTGGAATTTATCTGAAGAAAATAAGTAAAACTCTACATCAAGATTTAGCTGCAAAGATTTCCCCTGAAACCTTACGTATTATACTGAAAAATTAGGAACTATTAAAATGTCCATCAATAAAGAAATGTTAAATAAAGATAGGGTATGGCCATAGAATAAAATACTAGGCAGCTGCTAAAAGGAATAACGTGAAAGAATATTTAAAGACCTACAGGGGTGGTTGCAATACTTTGTTAAGTAAAAAAAATAAGTTTGCCACGAGAATATATTTAGTTTAAAAGACATCCTTGTTTGCATAGAAAACAGCCTGAAAAAATATACCCCAAGATGTTGTCTCTTATTTTCATCTTTTGGCTTTTTTCTAATTTTGAGCAATAAACACATTACATCTAAAATATACTATTTGTATAACAAAGAAAATTTGAAAGAAAAGTCATTTATAGTCCCACCACATGTACTTAAGTGTGTCACTTGGCCTTTACTAGGGCTGCCCTAGCCAGGGATAGGATGGCCTGGAGCTTACTGCATCAAGGCAAGACTAGCTGGGTGGTCAGGCTGAGGCCCAGGATTGTCCCCTTCTTCCCACAACATTGTTCCTAAGGAGGGGAGGGATGGGACAGTGTCCTTGTTCACCCTGAAGAGCTGTTTCCACCAAGCCTGGTCAGCGGAGACCATTGGAAAGAAAAGCAGCCCGTCACAATCCCTAGAGAAACAACCCCTGTCATTACGGTTTTCTCTGTGTCTGGGCATCTGTGATTATAAAGGTGTATGTTTTTCTATGAGTTTCTATGTGTGTGTTTTTGCCTGGAAGTCAATCAAGCTCACCAACTATTTAGCAAATGCTTATTTGATACTTGCACTACGCAAATTGCTAGGAAAACAGCTGAACAAGCCACTATGCCATTGCCTGCCTTCAGGAAGTTTATGCTTTAGTGGTAGTAGACAGCCTAAACCAAGATCTCAGTATAGCATGACCAATGTGTGATAGAGCAGAGAGAGGTGTGAAAACTTCCCGAGCCCAACCCAGGGCTTAGGAAGGTGTCCTGGAGTTGAGACTTCAGCTGGTCTTCAAAGACGAACAGTACGTAGCCATGTTGAAAGGTGCTCAGCAGAGAATCAACAAGAAATCATGGATGAATGACCAGATCACCTCTTCCTTAGAACCACTTAAAGCCATCACGAATTCTTAGCATAGATCCCCAAATTATAAAATCGCTAGACCAGGCACGGTGGCTCACACCTGTAATCCCAGCACTTTGAGTGGCCAAGGCGGGTGGATCACCTGAGGTTGGGAGTTCGAGGCCAGCCTGACCAACATGGAGAAACCCTGCCTCTACTGAAAATACCAAAAGAATTAGCCAGGCGTGATGGCACATGCCTGTAAACCCAGCCACTCCGGAGGCTGAGGCAGGAGAATTGCTTGAACCCAAGAGGCGGAGGTTGTGGTGAGCCGAGATCACGCCATTGCACTCCAGCCTGGGCAACAAGAGCAAAATTCCATCTCAAAAACTAAAAAATAAAATAAAATAGCTAGCACAGCCTCATAGTCCTTACCTTTCTCAGCCTCATTCTGAGCCCTCTAAACTAAGTTCTAGCTACACAGAACTTCCTTCAGTTTCTAGAACTTGCCAGGCTTCCCTTCTCCTCTAGAGCTTTGCACATTTTTACAATGTTCTTCTCTCTGGAGCACTTCCTCTCCGCAAGCAAGGGGAATGGGAATCTCTACCATCGCCCTTGCCTGGCCAGCCCTTCATCCTTCTGAACCCCCTTCCTCTAATAAGCCTTCCCTGACCCCGTCTCCCCAGCTCTACATCTGGATTGGGCTCTTCTCCCCTGGGCTCCCATAGCATGCATTCTGTACCTCCACGATTTCAGACTTTGCTCCACTGTAGAGAACTTGCATTTTCATCATCAGTCTCCCTGACAGATGAGGAGTTCTGTGAGAGATCGGTCTGTCTTGTTTCCTTCAGTTTCCCTGGCTTCTGGCTCTATGCCTGGCACATAAGGAACTCAAGAAGCATTTGGTGATATGAATCGAATTGAACTGAGCCCAGGCCCTTCTCCAGAGGGCATTCTTTGTTCTCTGTTTGTAAGAGTATCTCGGGTTAACAGACCTATTAAGCTACTCTCTGTGATTGCTCCCTAAGAGGCAGCAGTATGGCTCAGGAAACTCAAAACTCTGTGAAATGTGAAATCATTCAACTTGCCACCTGCCCAGTCCAAGGGAACAGCTAATTCAGGAATCCTGAGAATGTGCCCTTGCTGAAACCCTAGAGCTGACACCTTTTAACCCATGAGGCTGTCCGAGAGTTAGATGAGTTGAGCAAAGGGAGCACCTTCTGTTGCACCCCTACTGTGTGCCAGCCACTGTGCTGCGTGCTCTGCACATGCTTTCCCAGTTTGCCTCACTTCAGGGGTAAATGTCACCTGTAAGAGAGATATTATCACCTACATATTATAGTTGAAGAACCTGGAACTTGGGGTGTTAAGCAACCTTAGCCAAGACCTTTTGATCCAGGTGTGTCTTACCCCCAAGTGCATGACTTTTCCACTGCCCTGCTCTTTCCACTCCTATGTGGTGTTGATGTCATTGGTATGATTCTGCATGGTTCATTCAAGTGAAGTATTTGTTTGTGGGTCCATCTGTCACATCAAATCTGGATTCAAACTCCAACATGGGGCCTCTGTATTTCTGCGGACAATGTCTTTATTTTCACACAATGGCCCAAAAAGCCCCAGGCAATCAGCACAGCTGGGAAACCCAGAGGTTTCATCTCAGATATTTGCTCATCCTTAGAATCCCAGCCAAATGTGTACCCCTTTGGAAGGGGTCTATTTGCATGCTAGAATAGAGTGCAAAGTGTGGTGCTTAATCAACTTGTTTCCACCTGTGACTGGGTCTCACCCACTCCCCACCCAACTCCATGTCCTAGGTAAGCGGGAAAGGACATATATTTCCTAACCTGTATAGACCGAGAGCAGTTTTCTCATTTGCAGACATGTTTATGTGTCAGGAGTATAGCATGCATGTGGGCCCATGCACCCACAAGCCTTTTCACATCAAGGATCTTGACCCCCATGAAGCCTTCCCAACCCTTGAGGCATAGTTCCCCACTCTTCCTCCGTGCCCCACTCTGGATTCTCACTAGTAGTGATTTGTCTGTCTTTTCCACTAAACTGGGAGATCTTTCTCAGTTCTTAGCACAAGGCCTGGCACTTGGTAGGTGCTTAGGACTTGATGCATCTCAGTTGCCTGGAAACAGGGTATTTACAAGCTGCATCTCTGGTCCCATCACTTCTGTTGAGTTCTGTCTCCTCCATCTCTATCTACAGAAGCCCAAATCCTCCAGGATCACCAGCTTCTATCAACAGGGAGTCAAGGATATAAAAACCTTTAAAATGCTTTAGCATTAGAGGCTTGGCTCCAACCATCATTTATAAAAAATGTAGCAGTAATTATCTAGAGAAGTATTTCTCAAATTTTAAGTGCCTATAAATCATTTGGGATCTAAAGAGCATGCAGATTCTGATTCAGTAGGTCTTCAGTGGAGGCCAAAGACTCTGCAATTCTAGTAAGTCCTCCTGGTGCTGACCATACTGCTGGTTCATGGACCATACTTTGAGTAGAAAGTGGGATCACACTTTGAGTAGCAGGTGAGTCCTAGTCTAACATGTTCCTGTCCTGGCACCATCCACAACACATAGTCCCATAGGCTACTCACTTGGTTGATTCTGCATGGTTCATTCAAGTTAAATATTTGTATGTGCATCTGTCACATCAAATCCGGATTCAAGCTCCAACATGAGGCATGCCCATGTGCGTGACCATGCACTTACACACATGCCCCACCAAACACAACTGCCACCTGGACAAGTTCTAGAATTGCTTTGGGTGTTAAGACCATACTGCTCTATAACTTCCCTCACTCCCTGATCCCTTACCCTTCCTGGCTATTCTTACTACCTGCTCTCTTTCTGTAGCCTGAGAGGCCACACCCTGGAGTAACTGGGAGCACGGCCTCTGCAGTCGGATTGCCTTAGTTCAGATCCCAGCTCTACCACATACTAGCTGGGTGACCTTGGACAGATGACTTCATCTCTTTGTGCCTCCGTTTTCTTGGGTGTAAACTGGAGATTATAATAATGTACCCACGCCACAGGGTTCCTGGTAGAATTAAATGAGTTTTCCTATCTCCCTTCCAAGGGACAAGGGCTGGCTATAGTGCAAGTAAAAGCAGTTAGGACAGCGACACTAAATATTTAGTGCTTGAAATGTTAATGAATATCACTACTTTGATTTTATTTTATGCTCTTAACCTTCCCCATTACTGAAGCTCCCTCCTCCTTCTTTCCAGCTCTCTGACTGCTCTTGGACCATCTCCCCCATCGCTCCTCCTTTGCCCAGTCTCCTATTCCCTGTCACTTCTGCCCATGCTTCCATTCACCCCTTCTCCGATTCTCACTCTGCCCTCTCTCTCCTAGCCCTCTTCTCCATGCTTGTGACTTCAGATATCAACGATTTGCTGGTGACTTCCAGATCTACCTCTGTAGTCCCCACTTAATCCTGAACTTCCAAATCTGTCCTTCCAGTGACCCACTAGCTCTCACTGCTTGCATGCAGAAAAGGCTAAGTCCATTACACTTCTACAACCCATACCTCCCTCCTATCTGCCCTTCCCCAGGTAACAGAAGACATCACATCCTCCAGGTGGATGTGCCACCAGATGTCATGTCATTTCCCCTTTGCATGAAATGCCTGCTGTCTTGACCACCCTGCCCCAACCCCTGAGGACTCATGGCCATCTCCTGCTTTTGCTCTTTCTGCCAAGCCCCATCCTCTCCCAGTGCAGAGCAGCCACCAATATAACTGATCTCCCTACCTCCTCTCCCTCCACTTCATCCTCCTTACAGCCACCAACATCTTGCTAAAACTGAGATCTGGTCCACTCTGGATAGGAAGCCTTCTCATTGCATCCAGAAAAATCTTGGGTCTGGCCCCCATGTACCTATCCAACTTCAATTCCAGGAGTAGCCACACCCAGCTGCTGTTCAACAAACCTGGAATCAACAGTCCCTTTACATATATGGGTCTCCTGCCTAGGACACTCTTTCTCCCCTTACCTGGTTAATTCCTGTGCATCCTTTTAAGATCCATGTCCAATGTTTACTCCTTGGTGAAGCCATCCTCCACCTGCCTCTTCCTGCTGTCAACTGCTTTCTGTTCTGCCCCCCATGGCATGCTGAGCTACATTCATTCCAGCACTCAGCACTCTGTATTGCAGCTATTTGTTTAATGCCTGGTATATCCCCTTGCACCTAACCCTGGATCCTAGGGATCCTAGCCCATAGTAAAGACTCAACAAATACACAAATGCTTGTTGAATTAATTAATGAATGTCTCTAAAGCGTTCTCATAGGTGGAGCCATAAGTCTCTCTTTTAAATTTTGACAACTGTAAAAAGGTGTTCTTCTCCCTGCATCTTTGGGCACTTGTGTGTTCAGGTTCCTTCATTCAGATTTACCTGTATGGTTTATTGATGCGTGCTTGTCGTCATACACACAGATAGACATTTGCAAACTGGAAATGTTTGTGTAGATCCTGTCTTGCAGCTAAGGTGCTCCAGCCATCTCGCCATCACCAACCTGACCTTCTGGTTTCTTGGCAGGTGTGTTCTTTACTTTCCACACCTTCCACCTGGAAAGTGGCCACGACTACCTCCTCATCACTGAGAACGGCAGCTTCACCCAGCCCCTGAGGCAGCTGACTGGCTCTCGGCTGCCAGCTCCCATCAGCGCTGGGCTCTATGGCAACTTCACTGCCCAGGTCCGCTTCATTTCCGATTTCTCCATGTCATATGAAGGATTCAACATCACTTTCTCAGGTAAAGAGTGTGAGGGTCCCTGAGGGGAAGAGACCATGGAGCTATTCGCTCTCTCCTTCTGCTGCCAGTCTCTGGTTTTCCTAGCAGATGGATATTACTCCATTCTCCAGTCCCTGGGAAATTGACCTCAGCGCTTCAGCAAAAGATGCTTGGGTTGGACCCAAGTAAGAACTTCCCTCTAATGGTCTTGGAAGGAGTTAGCATGATCATTGAGGATTCTCCTTCTATAAAGGTGTTTAGGATTTGCTCTGTACATGGCCCACCTAACTGGATGAACTAGAGGACTTCACAAAAGACCCCTCCTACCTTAGTTATTCCAGATTTTTCTTCTGATTCCACTTCCATATTCCCAACCCCAGCAATATGAAAAAAAAGGGGGTTTGAAATTAACATATTGGAGTGATTTAGTCTCGTTTGGGATCTTTTTCATCAATGCTAATTTTATAGTAATAGATAGTTATCTCTGTGTTTAGGGATTTGGAAAAGAAAACGCTTTTATTTGGCATTCAGAGAGGAAAGAAGACCCTTGGCTCCTCTCGTACCGAGCCCTTCGCCATTCTTATCCCATAGTACCCCAGAGTACCTCCCTCCACCTTTCTCACCCACGGCCAGGGGTATCACATGGATTCCTCCTGGAATGGACAAGAGGTATCCAGCTTCTAGGAACTGGGGTGTGGCCCAGCTTAGTCCCCTGTCAGCCCTCCAATGCAGAAGTCGCCTGTCACATCCCTGGGTTTGCTTGGCCAATGGGACATATCCAGCCAGTGAGACTCAACCCTTATGAGAGAGACCCTCCTTCTTATCACACAGCCCCGGAGGACTGCATCCTGAAGGGGGAAGCCCTTGCAGACAAGGGACTAGTCACTTCTATGCTGTCACTAGAGGTCCTAGGCAGGGCTTTGGCCCATAAATGCCACCGGTCATGCTTGCCGTCTGCCTAAGTGCCAACATAGCCGAGACATGGCTTCTAGTCAGGCATTTGGAGTGTCTTCCCCAGTGGGAGTTACCTGAGGCTGGGTCATGTACTCTGACCTTCTAGAATCCGCTGGTTGAATTTATCTAGTTTGGTGCCCAGAGAGAAGGAAGCAGGAGAGCCTGTGAGCCCCAAGGCACAGATTTAAAACAGAGATGAAGGGACAGCACAGAGAAGAGCTGAGTGCTGAGGATCCTCAGAAATCCTCCTGGGAAGCCTGTCTAGGAAACACTGTGCCCTTTCCCACTGCTCACAGGAGTGGGTGCAGACCGCCCACCCTGACCTCCCCATGCTTCTCTCTGCCTCCCTATGCTTCCCCGTGCTTCTCTCTGCCTCCCTATGCTTCCCCGTGCTTCCTTCTGCCTCCCTATGCTTCCCCGTGCTTCTCTCTGCCTCCCTATGCTTCCCCATGCTTCTCTCTGCCTCCCTATGCTCCCCGATGCTTCTCTCTGCCTCTGCTCCCCTCGGGCTCTCACTTCTATTTTGTGGGCCAGTGTCACCTTTTGTGGGCCAGTGTGCGCATGCCCTCTTCTCTGTCTTTCGTTGTCCCTGGCCCTTTCCCCGTGGCGTTTTGCCCGTGCGTTCCCATCTCCCCACAATGTCTCTGAGCCCAGATCTCCTGCTGCCTTTCCAGAGTATGACTTGGAGCCCTGTGAGGAGCCTGAGGTCCCAGCCTACAGCATCCGGAAGGGCTTGCAGTTTGGTGTGGGCGACACCTTGACCTTCTCCTGCTTCCCCGGGTACCGTCTGGAGGGCACCGCCCGCATCACGTGCCTGGGGGGCAGACGGCGCCTGTGGAGCTCGCCTCTGCCAAGGTGTGTTGGTAGGTGGTCACGTGCTTTCATTTTGCTTCACTAATGGGGTGGGACAGATTATAGTCAATTGATGTGAGGTGGTGGATGGCACACAGGCCAAGAGGCTGACTTAGCCCACACTTAGCTGCGGTGGGACCCGGGGCAGGGGACCTAACCTCCTTCCGCTCCAGCCTTCTTATCTGTAAAATAGGGATGGCAATCCCTGCTTCATCAGGCAGTTCTGTATAAACTAAAGTGACCTTTCCAAAGTAGGTCCACAGTGGGCACTCACATGAAGTTGACTTCAGTACTCTCACCTCCCCACCCTCAGCACACAGACCCATGCCTTAAGGATGCCTCTTGCCGAGGAATCTGGATGGGCACCAGGTGAGCCTGTAGGAGGGAGTGTGACCTTTGCCCAGGGGGAGTCCCCATCTGGTGGAGTAGATAGCTGCTTTTACTAATCCAATGGCGGTGCTCACTCTTAGAGACGCCTCAGGAAGACTTCATCCATTCAGCAGGGGAGGACAAAAGGAACAGGGCAGGGTCATGTATAGAGGACCCACTACATGTCAGGCATCTGCTAGGTTCTGAAGATACAAAAGTGGACGAAACAGAGACATTCTCCACTCGTGGCCCACATTCTGGTGGTGGGGACACAGGCTGTGAATATGTAGATGTGTGATGTGTCAGGCAGTGTTGGGGCATACAGAGAAAAATTAAGTCAGCTTAGAAAGTGCTGGAGCTAGGGTTGCTCTTTTATAGTGGTCAGAAAAGGCCTCTCTGATGAGTTGACATTTGGCCAGAGATAGATATCTGGGAGAAGAGGGAATAGAGGACCAAGACCCAAACCATGAGGATGCTCAGCATTTGGGGAACAGCTCAGAGGCCAGGCTGGAGCAAGCGGCAGGGAGAACAGGAGATGTGGAGGTTAGAGGCAGCTGTTGGAGGTTGGAACTGGGCCCTGCCTGCCTCCTTGCAAGAGCTTTAAAGAAGTGTGTTTAGAGCGCTGTGCCCAGGGAGTAGGGGAAGCAAGTATTGTCCCCGGGGCAGAGTGATTGCTGTCTGTCCCTAACGTATGAGGCTCCTGGGTACCTGTTTGCTCAATCCTTATAATGTAGGGCTGGATGAAACACTAGCTGCATTCATGGAGTATTTTCCATGCTCACTGTTAGCCATGGACCTCAAGTAAAGTGAAATATTATATAAAACCCCATAAAAATATACAAAACAGATCAAAGCAGCACTGCACTGACTGAAACAGGGACCAGCATCTCAAATGCTGGTGAGGTCAGCTGTGCCTGAGACAAGTCCATGGAGCCCGCAGGCTATGCTGAGGACAGCTTAGACAGGCTGGCAAGATGGGCCGGGCCCAGGCTGTGCACTCATGCAGGCCAAGGTGGGGTCACGGCTCTGCCACTTACCAACGCTTAGATCTCAGGCAGGCCAGCAAACCTCCTCAGCCTCAGCTTCCTCATTTATAAAACAGAGATAACAGCATCCAACTCACAGGCTTTACTCTACGTTAGATGACATCATTTACATAAACCAAGAGGTGGCATGTAATTATCATTTTGCCAATAACCTTTTAATCTGTATTTATCAATAACCAATTATTGTTATTCTGCCAATAACCTTTTACAATCTCAGAAAGGAAACATTAAAACAAAGCATGGCAGAATTCTGTTTCTGACCAATTAAATAACCCCAGAGTTTACTCCATCTCCTATAACCCATCCCCAAAGGCATCCACCCGCCCTGATCTGGCCACACACGCTCAGAAACACATAGAACCCCGCCGCCCACCCCAGGAAGGTTCAGTTCATGTCTGGCTGCTAGCAGCTCCTTTAGTCTCTGGGAAAACATCCTCAGCTAAATGGTTCTGGGGGAAATTCTTCTTGAATGGGATTAACCAGGACCACAGATGCACACAGCCCTTAAGCTCTTGCCTCATTGATCTCATTACATAAACTCATTCTTTAACTTATTATTCCAATTACTGTTTGTTCATGACACCTCACAATATTTTCATTATTACATTTGTCTTCTGTTTCACATGTTATTAATAATGCACAGTAATTATATTCACCTCTAATTACCACCAGCCCGGCTGCCGAGGCTCAGGCTGGAGGCATCTCGGCAATGCCCACCGGGGGCTGCTCCCAGTCGCCATGCAAATTGGATGATTTAGTCCACATAGTGCTACCAGGAACATTCCCAGCCGAGAAGGAGATGAACAGCCCTGGGCTTTAATTCATGGTGTGACGTGGGTGGCAGGGAGGGAGGTGACATAGCCCCTGACATCAGGGACCCCTGAATTTGATGTAGAAGAGACAGTCCTGACCGCAGGGGACCCCAGTCTGCAGCAGGAGACATGGCCCTGTCCTTGGGAATCCCGGTGTGATGGAGAAGACCTAACCCTCTGCCTCAGAAGCCCCAGGCTGATGGATAAGGTATAGCCTCTGCCCTTCACGAGACCCCTTCTGATGGGGGCAACAGAAGTCATAGATGCCAGAATCAGCCACAGCACTTTCCTGTGGATGTGACTGTTTGTTTCTCTGGAGCATTTATTTGTTTCCATTTGTGCTTGTGTTTGGCTTCTCAGTGCATCTGTTCACCTCCCCTGTTACTCTGGAAACTCTCCCGGAAACAAGCGCCGCATCCCTCTGTCCCTCCTGTCCCCTCCCTGGTGCCCAGGACAAAGGCCTGACAGGGAGTCAGGACCTGGGGATTGGCCAAGGACTAGCCACATCTAAAGCTATCAGCCCCTCCTTGTAAAGGTGTCAGGCGTGTGGGAAAGAGGACAGGCTCGTGCTGGGGCAGAGATGGGGCATATAGCTCTTATGCAGGAAGCAGGGCCAGGAAGGAGGTCCAAAAACACACCAAAGCCCATGTTTCAGGGAAGCCAGCTGTCGAGAATTAGGCAGAGGGCAAGAGGCATCAGGAACTGTGAGGTTGCTGTGAGCCTCGGGCAGCTAACGCACGCTTCTCATAAGCTTCTCAAGCTTTCTGCTAGTCCCAGAATGCAGGCAGTTAGGGCCCCAAATGGAAGCAGGTAAGCCATGTAGATTAACCTGGGACATTGGTGGAGAGGCTACTCTGTGCTAACCATTCCCCTATGTTTACCTATCTTATATATAAAATCTCACGCATTGATTCTACAGTCTTATGAGAATGCTATTATTGTCCAGATGAAGGCAGATGAAGAGACTAAAGTTCAGAGAGTTTACACAATGTGTCTAACTCCAAAGTCCATGATCATCCCACTGCACCACAGGCCTCTGCCTGGATGGAAGGGAAAGGTAGTATCTCAGAGAAAATGGAGAGATGCTTCAGAAGGCTGCCCATGTGATATGACTGAGTAATAAATGTTTACATATGCATGGCCCTAAGCAACTCTCCCTCCCCTGCACAAATCCCCACCCTCATCTGAGATCATCAAAGAAATGTACACATGCTGGAAACGTCTGTGTAAATTATCAGCAGCCACTGCCCCCAGGGAGCCTGTCCACCGCTGTCCCTTGAGTTTTATGAGCCATCGCAGCACATTCATCATATTTGGAAGTTTTGCAAACAGACTTAAGTTTAAAAGTACTGTAAAGTCAGATTTCTTCTCCGAGAGAAATAAATGAGGCCTTATATAAAGCCTTAGGAAACTGAAGCTGGTCCTGAATTGAGCAGAATGCAGGGAGGAGGGTCCATTGAGAAAAGCTGGGACTTGGTGGTGGGACATATGGCCCCCATCTTCAGAGGACTAAGGAGCAGCCTTGGGGACAAGAGAAAACACAAGACATATAACTAAGCCCATGAGCAGTTCAGCTCTGAAGGTTTCCATGTGCTCCATCTATGCTGCCTCAGTCTAGTATGCTCCTGGCTTAGGGTAATTAGGGTTAACTATAAGGCCCAAGCAATGGTCCTTTGGTCAACCCCAAGGCTTTTCCAGCCACAGACTGTGCCTAGACTAAAGGATACTGGGGATGGTTTAGAGAAAGCAGACTTGCTACCAGCTGCCTGAAAGATTCAAGGCATGCTCCAAATTCCCCATATGTCCACACGAATAACAGGCCTGCCATCTGGACTTGTATTTACATCTTTCCGGAACCTAATTATTATTTTTAGAACTGTACATCTTCTGAGGTCAGTGTACTCCATATCCATTCATTTATTCATTCATTCATTCAGTAAATATTTATTTTACAGACAATCCAGGCTAAGCCTTGGAAATTCATAGGTTCATCCAGCATGACCCTAGCCCTCAAGTTACTGACAGTTTAGGTGGGGGACACAGACAGGCAGCAAGCAGTCAAGGTGCAATATGGGAAGTGCTCAGATACAGGGAAGAACAGGGAGGGGCCCTCCAATTATTAAAGATCCCATTCCTGCATGCATGCCCTGAGCCTGCCCTGCCCACGCACTGAGTGGGTGTTAAGGAGACAGTAACATGACCAAGCCCCAGAGGATCCACAGTGCAGTAGAGGACATAGAAATGTTAACAAATAAGTCAAGTAAAATGGGATGACTGCTATAAATAAAGGTATGAGAACAATGGGGAAAGAATGACTAATTCTGGAGGAGGAGAAGCAGGTTTCCAGAGGAGGGTGTGATTTCATTAGCTGTTGAATGAAACGGGCTGCAATGAGACTATGCTAAAAACTTTCCCCAGGACCTAGAAGGTTGAATTCTCAGTCCCCTCCTCCTCGTGAATCCACAGAGAGACTTGGTCTCAGTGGCTGAGTACCTGGTTCCTTATCTTTAAACCAGAAATGATAATTGTGCCTACTTATGGGACTGGCTGTTGTGACTAATGACTGAAATGGTTCTTGTAAGGTGTCAATCATGCTGTTTTGCACATAAGGGTTAGCGATTATGATGTGATCTTGCCCCCTCTTACTTTCTATTCTGATACTGAAAGGTTTCATCTCTCCTCACTTAACTGCCCCCCTCTTCCCCTGACCTCCCCCTTGGTCATTTCTGTTGCTACGCTACTATATGAATAGGTATGTGGCATGGCTGCTTTATAGAACTGTGAAATTGTAAAGGGTGCCTGGTGGGTTAGCTTCTGTTTCTGTAGAAGAGAGACAGACAAACAGAACAAGAGACAGAAGCAAACCAGGCAGCACCATAGGTAGAGAAGTACTTTTTTTTTAAGTTTGAGAGGCATTTCTGTAAACAGTCCAACAACTGGACAGACACACAGGCATCTTGGCAGGTAGACAGGCAAATGACTTGTCATCTTTGTCAGGTTCTCCAGAGCTGTGAGTTGCCTTCTGGATGCAGCTGATGGGGGTTAATCTATGGTTATTGTGATTCTCTTTCCAGCTGAGTGTGGGAATTCAGTCACAGGCACTCAGGGTACTTTGCTGTCCCCCAACTTTCCTGTGAACTACAATAACAATCACGAATGCATCTACTCCATCCAGACCCAGCCAGGGAAGGGGATTCAGCTGAAAGCCAGGGCATTCGAACTCTCCGAAGGAGATGTCCTCAAGGTAAAATTGATCAGTTTCAGAGTATGTATGTTACACTATGCAATAGTCTGGTCAATACTCACTCCTTTGTCTCTGTGTGAATGATCCAAACTTTCTCCTTCCTTCCTGAGTCCCAAGATACTGTCCTCACTCATCTGGGAGAAAGAGAGGACCAAAAGAGAGAGGTATTTGGGTATCTAAGAATATGGCTTTAGAGTTTGTTTGGAAGCTGCCTGCTATCAAATGCATGTGTAATTGAGTATAGGTTGACTGCATAATAAAAGATAGTAATTCAGCTCAGGGAACACGGCAAAACCCCGTCTCTACAAAAAATACAAAAATTAGCTGGGTGTGGTGGTGCATGCCTGTAGTCCCAGCTACTGGGGAGGCTGAGATGGGAGGATCACTTGAACCAGGGAGGTTGAGGTTACAGTGAGCCGTGATCATGCCACTGCACTCCAGACTGGGTGACAGAGTCAGACCCTGTCTCAAAATAATAATAAGATTGGAGCAGCCAATGGATCCAGTTTTCCATTTTGAACCCTGACTGTCAACATGGATAATGAAGAGCTCATAGAACATGTGTATATATGCATGTGTGTGTTCATTTGTGTAGCTATGTGTTTATGGCTATGGATGCTTTTTAAAATATGTTTCCACATGTGTGTGAATCAGTGTCCATGTATTTATTTGGTTTTGGGGATCTGTGTCTGTGCACACCTGTGTCAGTATATTGTATGTATGTGCACTTGTGCATTGCATATGTTTTGGTTGAATAACAGGCTATTGCAGTAGCTTCAGTGTACCACGATGATGGCCTGGTGTGGCAGTGGGGTTAAAGAAAGTGAGTTCAAGACATATGTAAGAGAAAGAAATGGTAAGACTTGGATTACAGAGAGGGTCATAGAGAGGATTTGTTAAGACACTCATCATATATGTCTTGTATTTCTTTGCATAAATACAAAGAATATGGATTGAGTACCTCCAATAATATGTAGTGTGTGTCTGTGTAATCAAAGAGTTGAGCATGGAGAATTTATTAAAGAGCTGCCTTAATAAAATGAATGACAAGGAAAGCCTCATGCAAAGCATGTTCATTTTCATCCTAGGCCAAGGAATTTTTTTAGCTTTTTCTAATATAGTTTTATTCCTTGTAGCCGGAGAAGTCCTTACATTAGAAAAAGTTGAACCAGAGCCCACTACTCTGGAAAATCCAAAGAGAAACCATTAAATTTCCATGCTTTCAGATTATCTCCAGATGTGATAAACGTGCTGTCCTTTTTATATACAGTATATGGATACTCTTGGCCAACCCCCTGGGGCATATGTCCTCTAGGGTGTATGGTGTGTGTGTGTGTGTGTGTGTGTGTGTGTGTGTGTGTGTGTGTTTGAAATGCATTTCTCACTCTTACCTAATGCTTTTTGAACCCAAGAAGATGCACTCATGAGATCACTGGCTGGAACTGGATGTGCCTGAAATGGGATAGAACAATCCCATTGGCTTCTTAAGCTCTGCTTTCCAACCCCACATAAAAACAGTGTGTGTCTCCCAACAAGAGAACACAAGACAAGGGTTTTATGCCCTTCTAATAACCATGTCTTTAGGCATCACCCTTGACCTTTACTTCTCTCCATCCATTTGAGTCTCAGAGGCTGCAATCAGTCCAGCAGTGCCAGAGGGACCTCCTCTCTGTAGAAGTACAGATGGAACGATGTGAGCTGGGCAATGCAGAGGCTTTCTTGGATGAAGGCCATTAGCACAAAAAGCCAGCTTTGAGGCATAGTTTACAATTTTCAGGTTTTGAAGGGGGTATAAGCAGCGGTTCTGTGCAAGTGACCTGATAGAGCCAGCACAAATGGCTCCTAGGTTGCTGGAGGTCACATGGAGTATGGCCAGTGCCATGCTTCCTCACTAAGGGAGTCTAGACTCAGAATAGCACCTAAGACATAGTCAGCAGGTGTGCACACTCAACGGCACCGTCAGGGTTCTGGCTTCAGGGTCAGGTGGGCAGCTTAGTAGATAAGCAGAGAGAGTCATTCTGAGGTGTTCAGGGTAAAAAAGCAGGAGGGACATGGGGCATAAAACCTAGGTCAGAGTTCAGGGAGGACTAACAGAGGATGCGGGAGCCCAGGTAGTGCACACACGCACACACACACGTACACACAAACACATGCACACACACGCACATGCACACATACACACACACGCACACACTCTTTAGCACCAGGGTAAGAAATGCTCCTGCTACGACCTCTTTGAGTTTAGCTCGTCTACTCTCCCTTAGAGACTGCTGAATGTTTCCATTCCCCATTTCCATTTTCCCTCTGTAACGGTGTACCAACCAGAAAATTAACCGGATATGTGTAAATATTCAGTAGATCAGAAGACGGAGACATGTCTGAGGAATCAGAGCTAATTGCCCCTCTGTAGGCAACAAAGAACAGAAACATACTTTAAAAGCTCCTAATTTGTATTCTTAAGAGAATTTGAGAGAATATTATATTTATGACACAAAACTAGGCAATAATGAAAACAGAGCAATCTGAGATGGGGAGAGATTAAATAGAGATGAAAAACATGATCACCCAATTAAAAAATGGAATGGAGGCAATGAACGGAAGATGGTAAACCACAGAAAAATGAAATCAGTTTATTAAAAGATAAATTTGAGAACTTCTCCATCTCATAAGGAAATGAAAAAGAGGATTATTTTATATTAATAAAATGGATAATCAATCCACAGTAAAACTTTATGTGCCAAATAACACAGCACAAATAAATTAAATAAAAACTGCTGGAAATGTAAAAAAATTTAATAAAGTTACAGTCATCATGGAAGATTTTAATATACCTCTGTAAGTCTGTGATATATCACCTAAGTTAAAGATAAATAAGGATTTGGGTAACTTGGATGATGTAACAGAATAAATCAGAAGAAAGTAGGAGAAAGATACTTTAAACATAAAGGCAGAAATGACTAGAGAAACAAAACTAAAAAA